AAAAATAAGAACCAAGATACTCATGTAAAGGTACAAGATCCCAATGATGAATGTAACTGTATTTTATACCAAAAATGTACCAATAAACTTAATGGGAAAAGAAAACAATAGATAAAATGGTTTTTTTAAAAATAAAAATAAATGAGAAGCACAGGGATATGGCGGAAGAAAAGATGTATTTAAATATTTATTGAAAACTTCACTTACTATGTGACCAGGACAGTGCTATGAACTTCATGGTCATTTTCTGAGTTAACTATCACAAGACTACGGGAAGGTCCAGTGATCATCCACTTTTAGATTATAAAAGCTAGCCTAAGGTGAAGCAGACAGAGCTAGCATGTGAGTCCCGATCGACTGTCTCTAGCAGCCCATCCTAGGCATAAGGAAAGGGCCTGAGAATGGAGGGAAAAGAGAAGCTTGTCAGACTTCACTTAGTGGGGAGAGAGAGGAGACAGAAGAAGGGATGCTGCCCCAGGAAGTAGCAAATACTTACCTAACCCAATCGCATGAGCAAAAGCTCAAATATGAAGAGGGCAATTATCGCAAAGCTAGTGCTTTCTATGATAACCTATCAAGCAATGGTTCAGGCTATGCCCTAAATATTCAAGTCAGAGTTGAGCACACTGTTACAATGTCATGGCCATAGCTAATCAGCAGACTGGGAGTGGGAAGGATAAATTGAGTATGTGGGTCCTAAAAGTAAATGCTGTGTAAATAAGAACTATGTCCACCCTGAAAGACCTGCCCATGTCTAAAATAGGCTCCAGGACCACATTCTGGGAGGGGATCGGGCATTGTCCCTAAAAGGAAGAAGGGCCAAAGTTGGTACCTGCTAAGCAAGGATAGGAGTAGAGAGGTGGGGACAAGTTTCCCAAAGCTGAGCCATCCTTGGGGGAGCAGAGACATCCAAGAAATTCCAGGTGCTCCCAGGATTCAATCCTAACGGACTCAACTGCCCCAGGACTTAACCCAACAAAATTTCACCCCCTTCCAGAAGCTGTGTACCCAGGTGAAGGGTGAATCAAGACCACAGATTCAGAATTCCAGCTCTGCTACCTACAGAAGTATGTGACCCGGCAGGTCTCAGTTTTATCAGTGGGACAGAAGGAATAGTACTGTGCTTACTTGTGTCTCGTCTTGTGACTATATAGGAAATTTATGCGGATCATTACCGATAAACCCACTTCTTACTTCACCGCCATCTGTTAGCTGGATTCTTCCAACTGATAAACCTGGAGAGAAGGCACTTTCAAAGTTCACACTGCTTCCAGCACCTCCCAGAGGTCTTCCACAGAGCAGAAACATATTAAATACTTGCAGTACTTGTATTAAAACTGGAGATGCTTTTGGCAGAGAACTTGACTGAAGCTTCTCCATGTTAGAATGAGGAGACTAAGTTCACAGACAGACAGAAAATAGACTATGAAGTGAGATGCCAATGCTCCAGATTTCCTTTCTCTGTGAAAATTTTTATTTCAATAAATAGAAATGGGAAGTGGCATTAAAACATGACTTCAGCCAAAACTAAGAATTTACAGGGTAAGACTGAAGACCCTGTACACTTATTAGAACCTGTCGAATTCAAGAAAAGTGGTACCAGAAGTGCACACAGGATAGTGAGAGGAATGGCCAAGGGCTTTCAAAGACCCTCTGCTGCCTCATTCTACCCTGTGCCATCAGAGCTAAGGGACTAACCTGCTATTCTCTCTCCATTCCTCATGCTTCCTGATTGGAAAGTGGAACTTTAACTCATTACATTTCATAGAAGAAACTGTGTTTTGTTTTAATCCCACTTCCTCCTAGTTCATAATTTTCCTAACAGCCTTCAGACAGTCATCGCTGCAATCTGCATCTTCTGAGGAGGAGACCAAGTAGTCTCGTTTGCCCAGCACTTTGCCAGCCCAAAGAAGGAACACTCAGTCTGCTCAAAACAGACTCAGCTTGAACCCAGACTACTCCAAATGAACTAAACTCACCCCAGTAGTCTGTCAGGTCTCTTCTCCTGGGAAGACAAATTTATAAGGACTTCATATTGGAATTAAAAAAATAAATGAGGGGAGGGAAGAGGAGAGAGCAGGTGAGGTATCCCACAGAATAATGAAAACAAAACAAGTGGGTACCTTTCTTGGCTGAGAAACCTGGCAAGTACATCACTGGCTCTTAGTTCTTCAGTTAGCTGTATTGCCATGGAAACTTTTGAGAGATGAGGAGCTTGCACTCGGATCACTCCCTGAGGAACGTCAGCCTGCAAAGCAATAATGACACTGAGGAAAGCTAGCAGCAGCTGGAACGCGGAAATCTGCACAATGCATTACATGGTAAGTGTGCTTAACTGCTACACATTTTACTCCACTGCATAAAAACTTTAACTACTGTATAATGCAATTTGCTAAATTACATCAAACCTCAAATATCCTCTTAATGGTGATAGGGGAACTTTATAATGCCTATGCAATAATGCTTAATTATTTTTAAAGATGTAAAGAATGACAGCAATAACCATTACTGCCATATTAAGTGCTGATTTCTGAGTATTATCTACTAGAGGGTACTTGTTCATGTGGCAATTCATGAAACTGAATTAGAAAAACACCTCAACTCTACATGCTACTGCTATGTGTGCATTTGAAAGATCTTCCCACGCATTCACATTTCCCCCAAAATTTTTGTCCCTGAATGTCCAAGAAGAAATAAATTAGAAATACTTGAGTGGTATCTGCTCACCACTTGGTCCATGGGCTTATACTTCTAACTCTGCCCTGACCATCCCAACCAATTCTAAGTCCTTTGCTCATGGGTGTGAAGGTTTTATGGATTTGGAGATAGCAATGAAAGAGTTTTACATCTGTAATATCAAAATATCAGCTATGGTATTTGAAAGATTAGGCTTAATTAATTCCTAAATGGTTCTGCTGAAATAAATACCAATTTACTATTTACAACCATATGTCTTAAACAGACTTTAGAACAGCATGCACAAACTATATTTAAAGACAATTCTCTAAATGCTACAAATATCCCATTTAATTCAACCAAAATTTACTAAGCATTACCAAGTACTAAATAGTGTGCTAAGTCTACTTAGCTAGTAGATCAGACACAAGTTCTTTATTACACAACCTTATTTTTGTGCCCACAATATCACGCTTTTAATGTACACGGTCTTAAATTGCTTCTGTTTAACATGAAGCACACATGTGCCACAGACACCATTAGTTTAATCTATTTCAAAGTCCAACAAAAACAATATGCCCTAAGAATCACACAGCATAAACATAAGGTGCCCCCAGAAAGTTTAAAAATTGCTTCTCAGTAACACGAGAGACATCGAGTGGGACTAACAAAGAAAAGCAGCACTACCGAAGATACCGGGGCTGTGGGCACAGGCGGCACCCCACACTGACCCACGTCCAGGTCCCTGACTCCCTCTTCAGCCCTAGGTCTGGACAGAGGCCTTGACTTGATGCTTTGACTTCTACCTGCCAGGGCATGGAATCTGGCCTGATGACTTACTCTCTGATCTTGACCTTGGCCCTGGGATGCAAGCCTAGTTTACCTTTGTCCTGACTCTGACAAATTCACTCGTTGCTAACAAACTGGAAAACGAGCTGCTGCCTACCATGGACTGGACGAGGCATTTCCTGTGGTAGTGCTGCCACCTCACTCCTTTCAGAGCAGTTATTAAGTCAGTGGTGTCACAGGACTCTGGGGCTATCTGAACCCTTCCCTTGGGGTGGATCTCTAGTTCTTTCCTACTCCGGCCATTCTGCCTGCTGGCCAGGCCTCAGCTATCTGTTTCCTTCTTAAGAAGCAAAAAACAACATGCTGGTACTGACAATTTTAATGACAGAGTGAAAACAAACAGCAACACTTGAAGCACTGCCACTTCATAAGTGCCTGGCCCCCTTATCTACTCAGTAAAGGCAACAGATTCCCTTTGATGATGATGATGATGATGACCACAACAACGATTACAATGTTTAGGATCCTGAATGCAAACTAGAGTTTATGGATAGCTATATACTTTATGCTGATTTTAAGTCAGAAACTCCTGGTTATGATGGTATACTATTTGGCACATTCACCAGACAAAACCTTATATATAACAAAATTTTTCCCATAATTACCTCTTACCCAACCTCAGAACATCAAAAAGAAAGTCAAATCTATGCTGAAATTATTAGAATTTTTTTTTTTTTTTTGGTACTGGGGATGGAATTCGGGTCCTTGTGCTTGCACAGCAGGTGGCAAAACCACTGAGCTAAATCCCCGGCCCCCTCTGCTGAAATTTAAGGTGAATAGAATGTAAGCTTTTCTATACAGTCAGTCCACAATAAATGATCTATAAAAACCCCAATGACCCAGCAAAGCAATGTATCACAGAAAGGTCAGGGATATGGCAACCTCAGTGTGCTCCGTGCCTTGTCCTCCGCTCCTCCTTTTGCTGCATTTCCCTGTTTAGATTTATTTTAAGGCCAGCCAAATTGACCATGCACATGTGCTGTGTATATTCTACTCCCCTTCTGGCTATCTTTCTCCCGGCTATCCACATTTGAAGGCTCAACTCCAATTCCATATGGCCTTTCCTTCCATGGTCCGCACGATGGAAAGGAATGGCTTCCGCTGGATCTCACTGAGAATGGAGATCCCCACATACTGTTCCCAAATTCTAGTTTCAAGCCACATCTGTAGCTACACCTCACTGGTAACTGATTAAATGACTCACTCAACCATACTTTCCCCTAACAGTAATAGGTGAATGATAGTAAAAATTTCTCTAGAAAAGAAAGCATACCAATATGCATATCCGTATTGGCAAAAAAAGTTTTTACACATAATGTCTAAAAGAAATAATGTTGTGATATTCTCCCCAGTGCAGAGAAAAGATGGAGGAGAAAAGAACGAAAAGAACTAGAGACACTGCAAGAGCTAATGCAGTCATTTTTCTCCTGCAGGAAGGCACTTCTTCCCAGCTATGAGTTTGCAAGAAGAGCCGAGGGCCTCTACTGACACGAGGCTGCCTCTCTAAATGAGCTCAGGGATCAGGACCTTGAGGAGGACACTCAGCTCCCTCAGGAAACACAGCATAGAGCTCAGTGTGTCAGGACTTCTGAGAGCACCGCCTCTGATAGACAAATCCGGAGAATGGGGTGTAGCTCAATGGCACAGCATGGGCTCCATGTATGGGTCAATCCCCAGCACCACCACCAAAAAAGAGAAAGAAAAACTGACTCCTTCTGAGAGTTAGGAGTTTAAAAGGAAGAGCCCAGGCACCAACTTCTGCAGCCAGAGCAGGGTTCTCTTGGATATGTGTGATGTTAGGAAACAGACATCCAGTGGGGCACAGGTGTGAGCATTCTTGCATAGCTTCCTGGTGGGTGTGGGTTAAAATATTTTCCACACCCTTTTCCCTCAATGAGCAGAGGATGAGGCTGGGCCAGCTTAGATTCAAGGGTTAATACTCCTCAGACTACTGGCTAAAAACGTTGTCTCATTTCACACAGTGTTCGCCAATGTCATTGAGAACCCTTTCATTAGGCTGACAATCCAAATGGTGTCTGCCTATATTGACCGTGCACATTCTCGCATAAGCAGAGAACTTGTATTCAAACAGGTTATGTGTGTCTAAGAGATAAAAAAAAGTCCCAGCTTGTTTAAAGTATCCTATCTAGATTCTCCCAGCAATATCGAGATTGAGAGTCCAAGCCAATATGACTGTACCATACCTTTACACCTTTGGGGAAGAAAAGTTTGGCTAGGAGATGTAGGAGAGCTTAAAATTGTTTCTCTGCTGAGTATATTGGAAGGCCAAATGATAGTCACATAACGATGATAAACAATACATGATGCCAAAGCTCTCACTTAAATAGTGTATGACAACTATCATCGAGCTCCAGAATCAGGTTGTATCAAATATGAACACTCTTAGTACACTAATTGCACTGAGCTGCCAAGCTTTGAAAAGATGCAATATGCCTGATCATTAGGCCAAACAGTCCATTCTTAAGCTGTAACGATAGCTGAATCTGTACAAAGCAGCATCTTTGTGACCTTCTGATTTCATGTTTTCTGGCTTAACAGCTGGGACCCTGTTCTTTGCTTTTGGGGGGATAGAATGGCATGGTTAAGAACTGAGGATGTATGGTTTATAGTAGGACTGGAGAAATATTGAACATCACTAAAGATTTTGCAACTTTAAAAATGTTGATTTCTTTTAAAATCATCCATCACAGTGCTCATGTGTTTTACATATTGAACTAAGATATATTTCTTAAAATCTAATTTTATTTCTTGTATTTGCTTAAACAATGATTTCATTGATTTTAGTATTTTACATTAAGTGTAGTACTGCTCATATTTTTGCCCTCTAGAAGTTTAATGTCAGACTTTTGGAAGGGACGCTAATTTCTTCTTTTCATTAAAGCCTTATTTAAATGTAAAGCTGACTTTTTTTTTTTTTTCCGGTTACAGGGATCAAACTTGGGTCCTTGCATTTGCAAGGCAGGCAGTGGCACCACTGAGCTAAATCCCCCGCCCTAAAGCTGACATTTTTAATGCCTCAAAAAAACTCCTTTTAATCTTCAAAAGGGCAAACTGGAAATACAGCTTTCTCAAAAAGGCAGCCAGATATAATGCTTTCAAAAATTACAGAAGGACATTTTAGCAAGGTATCTTAGACTTAAACGGCACTCACCCCAGTCTGAAGGGGAAGGTGTCACAGTCTTGTGTCTGGGTTCTGATTCTAATTGGGTCTTTGATATCAAAAGGCCTTAAGTTTCTATCCCACTCAGATTCAAAGCACTTGAAAGGAAGGCCTTAAATAACTTCCATAGTTAATAAGCATTTCATTTCCAATGAAACAAGATGATGTTTTTCTCTTTTAATAGGTTATTTTTATGCACTATAAAAAATTAGGGGCTGTCATAAAAAGAAAGATGATTTAGGGCTTGCTATTATAATTTGATTTTCCATATGGGTTCCCAAGTAAAACCAGAGACTGTTCACAGACGTAAGGCCAACTCCTGAAATAGTATCTGTGACGAGTCAGGAGAAGAGCTGCTAAGGAAACCAGAGTCAGACTCCGAACAGAGCTGAGCTTTCAGGCCTGCACACATAGCCCAGGAACAGCCCGGAATCTATACCCACCACAGCCAGGGAGCAACAGACTGCTTGTCCCGAACCTTAAATGTTGCGAGGACATTCTGGAACTTTGATTAAGTCCCATAAACTCTCTCAAAGTCCTCG